TCCACCCCTCATACGTAACAGGCACAACAAGACCAAGAAAGAAAAGAAAAAAGAGAAAAGAAAATGGCCAAAACGGAAGAACAGATCAAAGTTCCGCAGCAAATATAACTAAGAGACTAAGAGATAGCCAACCTATCAGATGCACAGTTCAAAGCACTGGTGATCAGGATGCTCACAGAATTGGTTGATTTTGGTTGCAAATTATATGAAAAAATGAAGGCTACACTAAGTGAAATGAAGGAAAATGCACAGGAACCAATAGTGATGGGAAGAAAACTGGGACTCAAATCAATGGAGTGGACCAGAAGGAAGAAAGAAACAACCACACAGAAAAGAATGAAGAAACAAGAGTTCAAAAAAATGAGGAGAGGCTTAGGAACCTCCAGGACATTTTTATATGTTCCAACATCTGAATTACAGACGTACCAGAAGGAGAGGAGGAAGAGCAACAAGTGGAAAAGTTATTTGAACAAATAATAAAGGAGAACTTCCCTATTCTGGCAAAGGAAATAGACTTCCAGGAAGTTCAGGAAGCTCAGAGATTCCCAAAGAAGTTGGACCCAAGGAAGAACACACCAAAGCACATCATAACTATATTACCCAAGATAAAAATGAAAGAGAGAATTCTAGAAGCAGCAAAAGATGAGACAGTTACCTACAAAGGAGTTCCCATCAGACTGTCAGCTGATTTCTCAAAAGATACCTGGTAGGCAAGAAGGGGCTAGAAAGAAGTATTCCAAGTCATGAAAGGCAAGGACTTACATCCAAGATTGCTCTATCCAGCAAAGCTTTCATTTAGAATGGAAGGGCAGATAAAGTGCTTCTCAGATAAGCTCAACTTAAAGGAGTTCATTATCACCAGGCCCTTATTATATGAAATGTTAAAGGGACTTATCTAAGAAAAAGAAGATAAAAAACATGTACAGTAAAATGACAGCAAACTCACAGTTATTAACAACCACACCTAAAACAAAAACAAAATCAAACTAAGCAAACAACTAGAACAGGAACAGAGCCACAGAAATGGAGGTCATATGGAGGATTAGAAACAGAGGAGTGGGAGGAGGAGAGAGGGGGAAAAGGTACAGAGAATAAGTAGCGTAGATGGCAGGTAGAAAATAGAGAGGGGGAGGTTAAGAATAGTATGAGAAATGTAGAAGCTAAAGAACTTATGACACATGGACATGAACTAAAGGTGGGGAATGTGGGTGGGAGAGGGTGTGCAGGGTGGAGGGGAGTGAAGGGGGAAATGAGACAACTGTAATAGGATAATCAATGAAATATATTAAAAATATTGTGAGTGTGATGGAGAATATAGTTGAAGGAAGTGTGTCACCTAATTTATTTAACAGGCCCCTTTATGGTGGTATAGTCCTTGTCTCCTGCTCCCAGCTTCTCTTTCTGCTCTGCTGTTCACACCAAATTGTAATGCCCAGGACACGCTGTGCTTTTTCATCTCCACCCCTCAATTCCTGGAGTTTCCTCAGCTGGAACACACTTTTTTTCCCTGGCAAATTTCTACTTATTATTGAAACTGGTATCATCTTCCTCTAAAGCTTTCCTTGGTGTACACTGCAGTCTGCTTATTGCCTTTCCTCCGGGCTCCCAATGCTTCCTCAAGCATCTATGATTGTTGCACTAGGCACAGTTTCTTGGCTTTATCCCCTGTGAACGTCAGTTCTCGATTTGCTAGACTTTGAGGAGAAGCATAACGCACACAGAAGATATGTTGAAGAGACACAGATTGGGGCTAGCATTTGCCACCCCCCACCATCCTCCTGCTCTTTTTATGTATGCATAGCTTCTTAGGATGGCTTTCAGCTCACCTGTCCTGGAATTGCCCTGTTTCACCCAGTGATGGGGATTTCTAACATCCTTCACCTAACAAATGCAATGATGTCCAATCTCCTTGGTGTTGATAAATATTTTATGATTTTTGCCTTTTTATTTCCTTTCTCAGGGAAGCTACAGTTCTAGCTGTTTCTTTACTTTGAGCAGACATAACGTGAAAGTCTCTTGTCCTGGACCCTGCCATAATTCCATCTTCTAGCTCTCTTTCCCAGGTTCTGTTCTTAACTGTCAAGTATCCACACTCTTCCTGATGATAGTAAGGGTACTTCCCTCAATGTGTTCTTGTAGAAATGCAGACTTATTAAGTCTTTTTCATTTGTAAAATAATTTGGCAATGTGCATTTTTCACCCATCTCCTAGCATCATGAGGTTTCATATTCAAGTTCTGTGACTAAATATCTAGTTCCTCAAGTTAATGCTGATAATTTAAATGTAATGTTTTCTGTTGTTGTTTGCAAAATAAATTTGAAATTGTATTTGCTTTGAGGACAATGCCAAGGATAGCATTTCATTTATATTTAATATGATGCTGACAAATAAATATTGCTTTGAACTTGGGTTAGCTTAACAGTGACACAATGTATTTTTACTATAGACAAATTTAGCTCTGTTTTCTAATAAAAATCTTTGATTGTAAGACTAGTTTGGAGCAGGATACTTGGTAATTCAACAACAGGTACGCTAAAATTAAGAGAACATTAGTCTACACCGGGGGAAAATGATAGTAGTTTGGGCTAGAGTAGTGGTTTTCAACCTTTTTCACATCATGGCACACAGAAACTAATTACTAAAATTCAATGGAATACCAAAAATTATATTTTTGCCTATATGACCAAAATAGGTATAATTTTGATTGATTTTCAGAAATAATAATAGTAAGTACCTACCCTTTTTGCTCCAGATAGACTTTTTTAAAAAATCAGGTGCCTATATTTGTATATAAGAATTTCTGGTACCAAGAATTAACCATCAGGCACAATCTTATTATGTGACATGACCAATAAGATGCAACTCTGTATAGATTATAAATGTATATAATCTATACCTTTATGGTTTAAGACAGGGCATTCACACAGGAAGATTATTGTTGTGTTGGCTGTTGTTAATTTTTATTTCACAATCTAAGGGAAAAGAGGTCAGTGTTTTTGACTAAATAGTCAGGTGCTGCATTAAGAAAAACCTCTTACACCACACTGGTTACAAATCGCTAGGTTAGGGTGATGGAGGTGGTGAGAAGGGAATGGATTTGAGAAACAACTATGATGGATTAGCTATGAGGAAGCTGGGTGGTGGTGGGGAGTGGAAGTAGGGCTCTAGGAGGAATTCGTGCTTTGCATAGTTGATGGATGGCGTTTCAATCCTAAAAAGATTCTAGGTCAGAACACTCGATTACCCCAGACAATGTGCTGGATGTCACTGCCAGTTTTACCTCTTTTCATTCTCCCTTTGTAGCTGTCATGGAGATCCTACCCTAGGTTAATGTTTTCATACTTTTGGACATAATTTACATTGCTTAGATTCAATCCGATTCCAATTCTTTCCCCTGTCTACTCTCAGGTCACTGTGATTGGATTTGGATAATCTTGAAAGTCTTCGAATGTTTAAGGACAATCATTTTGGATATGTCTTATCTTCAAATGTGTGATCTTTGCTCTTCTATTGCTTTCTACTTCCATTCTTAGAGGGAAATTTAGTGGGAACAAGTGAGCCACACTACAATTTACATGCCGAAGTAAATTTTAAATTAATTAATGAATTGAGTGTTCAAAATAAAATAATAGGTTAAATGTGAAAGCTATTAACATTCATTCAGTGGCTATGAGAGTCAAGACATAAACAAAGCTAATTCACAAGTGGGGAAAGGAAATAATAAACATGGAAAAAATGTTCCAAATAAGCCTTTCCCCCTTTCTATGTTTTCTAAACACTCTAATGTAGTATGTTTGCTTTTTTAAAAAAGATTTTAGTTATTTATTTTTAGAGAGGGGAAGGGAAGGAGAGAGGGAGAGAAATATCAATGCATGGCCACCTCTCCTGCACCCCATACTGGGAACCTAGCCCACAACCCAGGCATGAGCCCTGACTGGGAGTTGACCCAAGGACCCTTTGGTTCACAGGCTGGCGCTCAACCCAGTGAGCCACACCAGCCAGGACAGTAATGTAGTATGTTTGCTTTTGGTTTTGACCTCAACTTAGGTGACCATTGGTATTAAGTAGCCTGTTGTTGGTTCTATAATCAGACATCAAAGAATTAGACGAAACAAGAATTATAAGGGAGACATAGCTTAATAGTTTTAAGAGGCGGGTTAAGCTGAGAAGTTTTACAGTTGAGCCATCCAAGACCAATTCTGAGTGAAATTGTGAAGGTGGCTCTGATTTACTTCTCTTTTGCAGTTTCCTCCTAGGCCGTTATGCTGGTGTTTTCTGAAGAGGCTTCCTTCTCCAGGCCTTCAATTTGTACCCCAGAAATGACCTAAATTTATTCACACAAGAATTGAATGCCTCGAGGAATATCTACGTTTATCTGGGATTTGAGGCTTAATCTAAATTCATAAATGAAACCCTAATATGAAAATTCAGGCCTCATTCAAGGGGTGAGGGAAGGTTTGGAGGGTTAGTAGAAAGCACCACACCAAGAGGTAGGCAAACTGCTGAGAAAGTTGAGTCCGGGTTGCCACAGCTAGTTATTCATAGATGAAGTGAAACAAAAGTTAATTTTCAGAAAAGGTAAGATGTAAAATTATCATTTAAAAATTATAAGTTGAGAAGTCTTAAAAGGATGGGGATTTTTGGCACCGTCCCCTCTCCTGTGCTCGTTATCCAGCTCAGGGAGTTTCCCCGTGAAATCTGAAACGGGTCCCCTTACACAGAGGACAAGCAAAAACCCGAAGAGGCATGCTACTGCATATCGGTAGGTGACAGGTTTAATAGGCAAGGGAACTTATTTAGGCGACTTGTCGTGGGTGGCTGCAAGACGAAATCTCCATTCTTATTCTTGGGTTTGTACAGAGACCTTAACAAGGTTCAGTCGCCTATACTGTCCAGGTGGTCTTAACTACTTCCTCAAGGTTGCCCCCTTCAGGTAGTTCCCAGTACCGAAACAGTGGGCGGACTGGAGTTCCGAGGGCGGGGAGGTGGGTGAGGAGCCTGATTGCTCCCATTCAGCTGTGGATCTGTGGGAGGTCAGATCCTCTCTGGGACCAACTTCAACACTCCTTAAACTGAACGTCGCTACTAGGCCTGATGCTACTTAAATGGCAGCTATGTTGGGTATAGGAACCAGAAGCGGGGTTAGGGAAGGCTACGAGAATGAAGGTGCCTCCCTCCTGTGGGACACCAGGTAAGGAACCCTGCAGGTACTTCAAGGCTGTCTCCACGGACAGTTTTCGGGGACCTGCGAGGAGAGGCGCAACAAGACGGCGCCGCCCACCTCCGGACAGAGCCGGCCCTGGGGTTCCGGCGGCAGCCTTAGTCCCTCCCGGCACTTGGCACTTCCGTCTCAACATCCAGGGATGCCAGGCACTTCCTCTCAAACAATCTCTTCCCCAGGCCTCGACAGCCTCATGGCCCGAGCCGAGTTGCGTGCGGCTCTTCAGCAGCGGCTGGACGCCCTCGGCATCAGCACGGAGGTCGTGGAGCATCCGGAGGTGAGGCGCTGGCGCCGAGACGGCCGGGCCGGGGCGGCGGTGGTGGTGGGCGCCGCTGTGGGGTCCATCCGGCGGGGCCGCGAAAACGTCGGTTCTAGGGCTTTTCCCGGGTTGCAGTACGGAAGGGGCTTGACAGGAACATCGAAAGCCTCTCGATTTGGGATTACGATGTTATTGGGAGAAATTTTGTGCACCTAGAACTGGTGTGGGCTGTTGGTCAGTGTGTCCACTTTACGTGTAGCTAAAATAAGTTACCAAGCAGTAAACCGTCCCTGAAATGGCTACGGAGTATCAGGCGCCATGCACACAGCAGGGCACCAAGTTTAGGGAGTTTAGTAATTTTTTTAGAGAGGGAAAGGAAGAGAAACAGCGACGTGACAGGCACCTCGATTGGCTGCCTCTCGCACGCCCTCAAGCGGGGACCTGGCCCACAACCCAGGAAGGTGCCGTGACGGGCACCCAACAGCGACCTTCTGGTTTGGCGGACGGTCCTCAAACCAGTTAGGTATTTTAACATGGTTTAGTGTATATAAAGATGTGCAAATGTTTCACGAGAGCAATTGTAACTTGAGAACTGCAGGGACACAGTTTTTACTTATGAAGCAACTAATAGTGGTAGCTAAATATGGTAATCGTCAAAGGGTGGGTAGAGAAGTCCATTATAAGCCTTACTCACCTTTACAAATTTAACGTCAAAATTATAGTTTTCTGTGATCTTCTTCCCTCCACATATCCCCCTTCTTTACCTGTGTATATCGCCAGCTTTCTGATGTTCTCCGTTAGTGCAGGGTCTCCAAGCGCCCTCACTATGGTTATATATTTGCAGATTGGATGCTGTCACCTGACCTGGATGTAATTATAATGCTAAGGAGTCTGGGCTTGTATAAACTTTCAATACCAAAAGTTTGAAGAAAAAACAAAAAGCATTTTAAGAATGCCTGGGCCTGGCCAACACACTGGAATAGAGAACTGTAACTACTTGAGGTCTTGGTGTAAGGAATTGAGTACTTCTAACCGTGCTGTTTCCCCAACAAGCAAAATACATACAACTGTATAAGCATGCAGTATGCATACACACAATATTATTTTAAATTCTCACGTGATTATTTTACAGGTGTTTACAGTTGAAGAAATGATGCCTCATATCCAGCATTTGAAAGGAGCACACAGTAAGAACTTATTTCTCAAAGACAAAAAGAAAAAAGGCTATTGGCTGGTGACAGTTCTTCATGACAGACAAATTAATTTAAATGATCTTGCCAAGCAGTTAGGTGTTGGGAGTGGAAATCTGCGGTTTGCTGATGAAACGGCCATGCTAGAAAAACTACAAGTTGGCCAAGGCTGTGCCACACCCTTGGCACTATTTTGTGATCATGGAGATGTGAAATTTGTTCTGGATTCTGCTTTTTTGGAAGGCGGACATGAGAAGGTGTACTTTCATCCAATGACCAATGCTGCAACCATGGGATTGAGCCCTGAAGACTTTCTTACATTTGTGAAGAAGACAGGACATGATCCCATAATACTAAATTTTGATAAAAACAACTAATTGGGCTAATGTTTAGAATACATTTCTGAAAGCTGTGTTTCTTATTTGTAATTTGTAAAAAGCATTAATCCTAAGAACATTTAGCACCTTGGTTTGGTGACCACTTAAGTCATTTTAGGAGGGATATTTTATCTTAAAGCTGTTTTTAAAAAGATCTATTGAGGTAGTGTTAGCTCAGATAACCGTGGCCCCATCCTCCATTCCCTATAACTCATTACAGAAATGCCTTCATGGGTGGCTGGGTTGGGATGGGAGTAAAAGATATAGAATTGTACTGCAACAACAATTAAAATAAAAAAAAATACCTTCAGAAATTAAGAGTGACATCAAAACTAATATTAACTATTCTACTTCATTAGGGTGTTTATTGTACTTGAAAAAAGGGACAGAAAAGTATATATAAAATTATGCATATGATAGTGTACAGAGGGAAAAATTAAAAGGAATATTAAGAATATATTAAATTACTGAAAATGGTTACCAGTGGGGAATGAGGATTAAGGAATTTAGAAATCCCCTGCAAGATAATTAAACATGGGCAAGGGCTAAGAAATTCCATCACTGGGTGTTTCTAATCGTGATTTTCAGTGGAAAAATAAGCTGACTTTTTATAAAACTATATCTTTAGAAAATTTTAATCTAGAAAAATCACTCAACATAAGGATGGGAAATGTTGCAATAATTATACCACTAAAATTATATTTTAAAACAATAGCAGAATATACAGAAGCCATCAGAAGGATTTGTTTAGTCTTTGTTCAAAGGTTGGAAATGTGAACCTAAGTTTCTTCTTTCCTCTCAGATATACTGAATTTTACTTATCCCCTTTCCATTATGGCATATGAAAAGTATAAGATCCCAGGATTATGTACTGTCAGTTGTCACATAAACATGGTTCAGAAATAGAGTGAGTAAAACTGACATTTTTTTCACCTCACTTAAATTCAAACAAAAAACCCTTTCTCAGTTGATGGTATGATGTAGGCAGACTACAAAACTAGTCTACAGGTCCTGTCATAAAAATTCTCATTTTCCTCTGGTACAATCAAATGGGATATTCATTAACATAACCATATCTTCCTAAGTTTGATCACTCAAAAAATTCCACTTGGTAGAGATATATTTAATTTATACCAATTTGTGTTACTAATAGGTAAAATAAAAACTTGTCATTCCTTGGTATGATTAGAAACTACAAGTCTATTCATGGCAGAATTTTTTAAAATTTATTTTTAGAGAGGGGAAGGGAGGAGGAGAGAGAGAGAAACATTAGTGTGTGGTTGCCTCATGTGCCCACAACCAGGGTCCTGGCCCGCAACCCTGGCATGTGCCCTGATGGAATCAAACCAGCGACCCTTTGGTTCTCAGGCTGGTGCTCAATCCACTAAGCCACACCAGCTGGGGCTCATGGCAGAAATTTTACGAGACATAGAATGTATTTAAGCGATGTGGAATTAGTAAGAAATACTTTCCATAAATGATAAACCTATTTGGAGTTGCCATGTTAGTTTTTACGTACTCTGTACTGTATATTTACGGTTGCTTTGCATATAAAATGAAGATTTAATGAATAGAATCAAAGATAATGAGGACCTCAGATAAGTGGTATAACTTCCCTTCCCCACCTTATGACAGAAAAAGGCAAAGACTGACCTGCAAGGACACAGTTCTGGTTGCCACCTGTAACGTTTTGCCTCCAAGGGCTAAGTGAAAATGAGACGGTGATTTGTACAATCTATTAATGCACTGGGCTGGCCAAAAAAGTCCGTTTAGTTTTTTCCGGTAAAATAAAAGACACATTTTTCATTTTCAACAGTAACTTTATTGATCTGGATATTTTGAGTATATTGGCTGTCTCCTGCATGGTATAATGATTAAGATCTCAACGTCTTGATTTGATCATTATCTACCTGACCATGGAGCATCATCAGTGAGAAGTCTTCAACACCAAACCTCACAAACCACTTTTGACATGTTTTATCAGTCGTGTACCTTTTTGCATTTCAGTTGCTCTTTTACCTTTCTTGAAATAATAAAGCACAGTATACTGAAAATGTTGCATATTTTCTTCCATCTTCAATATTAAAATGGCTACACAAAAACCAATTTTCATAAGTTTTTTTAATGCACACTGATATGACAGCTGTCAAAATACAACATAACAAAACTGTTCCAAATAAAGATAAAAGACAACTAAGCACTACTAGAACCATCTCATGGAAAAAACCAAACAGACTTTTTGGCCAGCTGATACTCTTCTCATTCTCCCAAAACCTCTAATACCTATGCCAAAATGATTAGGATAGAATCATCTAAACAAGGTTATGGATAATGTCTGAAAATAGGTTTTCCAGGACAAATAGAAAAGAAGGAACAAAACCTGGCTAAATTATATTTTATAATTTTTAAATGATTACTAACCACTTATAAAAATCACCTTTGTTTTATTTCTTTATATCAGTTTGATAAGTGAATGTTAAACCAACCTAAGTAAAAAAAGTAAACACTAAAATGATAAATGATGAATGCTTTTAAAAAGATAAACAATGGTGTATCTTTTGTTTATAAACTGGATTTCTATGGCTGATATTAGGTATTGCCAAGTAATAAAACATTTTGCTATTCAACTCCAAATCCCTCAGTACCAATATTTTTAAAGGAAATGTTACAAATTTTATATTATTTGATTTGGTATTTAATAACAGTTATAAGTACAATGGCAAACATTGAAAGAGAACCCTTAGGAGAAAAGAAAAAAAGACAATTTGTGATCAGGTTTTGTTAAAGAGTATAAGTGCAACTTTATCCATAAGCATTCCTTTTAAGGCATTTTCATTGTCCAAATATTTCAATATGTACATCACGGTTTATATTGTAAAATGGGCTCTTTCTGTATTATTAATTCAAGACTCAAAGAAAAAACACGTCTTAGGACTAAGGGTAGCAGAAAAGAAAAAAAAATCACCACTTTTTTCATAAGTAACTTAAAATACAAACCATTTAGCATACATATTACTCATTGTAATTCCAGATTTGGTACAATATCTTTTTCACTTCCTGACACAAACTGTTAAGACGGTGTAGGCTGTAATATTTCATTTGTGAGGTGGCTGCAATTCTGTAACATGCACAGTGATTTTTCAATAGGCTCTTATCATGCCTTGCATGAAAGGTGCTACAATACAAACCTGTTTCGGGAACTCTTTGGTAACCACCAGCTCAGAAACTTGGACCAAACATTTCCACTGAAGCTCTTACCCTGTATTTTCAATTCTTCATTTTTTTTATTTTTTGTGTGTGGGAGGGTGGGTAGGTGGGGCAGGGATTAGGTATAGATTTAGAATAGATAATTAAAGCGTGTCAGGCCCCAGTCAGAAAGACCCTGGTTTGTTTTTAGTTGGCCATATCATTTTGTTTGGCAGAAGTAGTTTAAGGAAAAAGAGTGACTTCCTCTAAGTTTGCTTCCAGTGGTATCTTTTGGAGAAAGTAAAATACTTATGTGGCTATTTTCTAGTCCTTTCTTGAAATGTTATGAAAAGGGGGATAAATATAATTGAGAATATTCCCACTTTTGCAGTCTCAAGTGTTCCCTTGGCTGTTGCTTTAACGGGGCTCTCTCAGGGGCAGCCTACTCACAGTGGGTATTTTATAGGCTGCCGTTAGCATTTTCTCCTTGAAGAAACAATATGCTGCTTATGTCAGCAGGTCCTGGACAGGTCACGCTGTGATGTCATTCACCCTCACTGGGCCACCTCCTACTCCTTAATTTCAACTTTCAGTAATTGTCCTGGGATGTGTCCTAGTTGTGCAAATTAGAAGCTAGTTAATATAAATCTAAGTTACCCACTTACTGTATTTTAGCTAAAACATAATTTCTATATTTCCATTTATCCACCTAAAAATGAATTTACATTTTTTACATGCAAGTGTCTCTAGACTGCCACGATGTCCATTATCAATTTGATACTTGAATCTAGGGAGTCATGATGGAGAGAGATTTTTTGAAGTCTAGAGAATAGGTTTTAAATATGTCTGTTGTGTAACATTTGTATTTTAGTAAGAATCCTTTGTATTTACATTACATAGCACCTTTCATCCAAGAGTTTAAAAGTGATTTAACTTTACAGCATTATTTGGCGGCAAAACCTAAGGTAATGGTGGTATTTAAGTTAGCAAATCCAAGTTTGCTAATTTCCTTTTAATCTAGTCAACTATACATTCTGTCTTTTCATTAATGGTCTTTCTGAAAGTAGACTTTGAACACAACATTGCTACTGACCTACCAAAACACAAAGATAAATAAATGAGAAAGAGAGAGGAGGGGGCAGGGAAGAGAGAGGAAAGGAGAGGGAGAACACATTCCTCATGGCAGCTAGGTTGGTGATGAAACACACAGTTCATAAACCCACACTGGAATATGGAATTCCTCCACAAAGATTTTTAGAGCTGTTAATGAGCCTAAGAAGCACACTGTTAAAATAAAAAACACAGCTTCTTTCTCATTTTATACCTTTAAGATCCCTGGTATTTATGTTAAATAATGAATTTGTATTAACCAGTATCAATGAATTTTTTTTGATTTCATAAGAAAATAAAACTGATATAAAATTGAAACTACAAAAAACTGATGTTTCCCTGGGTTAAATTAACTAAATCTACTTTTTTTGTGCTTCTTTCAAATGTTCAAGGTAACAAATGTATACAAATATTTCAAAAGTACCAATAATAGTTACCAACTTTAATGTAACATTATAAAGAAAACAAAAAAATCTTATTGATAAGTGATAGCCTTAATAATAAATGAGTTCCTGGCAAAATGCAGATCATAGTATTATTTACATTATTTTTGCCATAAGAAAACTTCTTAAGCAACAGTCAGCTCTCAAGTTAAAAAAAACAAACACACATACATAACCCAATACTAAAGACAGGAAATGAATTAAAATACGACAGCTTCATCTTAGGAATGCCATTTGCTGGAAAATCACCTTACTAAAAAAGTTTCAGAAAAACACTCAACTTGGATCCACATGTAAATGTTTAGTGTTGCTTACTGGGGAATATGGATAGATTAGTATTACTGTAATTTTTTTATTAACTCCTATCATTATGGATTTTTCAGATTTATCTTATAAGCCAAATTTCTTTTTCAGTGCATCAAAATAATTGGTTTAAAAAAAAGAATACCAACACATGCAGTCTGCTAACCAAATAAGGCTCTGGCATGCCAAAACAATGTTCTCAATCTTGATATATAGTACATTCCACAACATACTACAGCATTTAATTTAGATTTACACAACTAAATATAAATGACT